AATATATATATATATCATGTACATACATTACATTCGTTACTGCGCTTGCTCAATTGCCCAAACTATTTTTACCACTTTTGAGATAAATGAAAAAAACTCAACCCAACAACAACTGTTCAGCAAGACTATACTATCTAAATAGTTAAACTTACGCATTTTTGTTTTTGTTTTGCCAAAGGATAGATATAGCACCGCGCCACTGAACAAAATAAAAGGCTAGTTGCTAGCGCAGTGAACCACTCTCTCCGATGCAAAGAGTATCACGCTAACGGAAGAATTTAGCAAAAAACAAAAACAACAACAAACAAACAACAAATAAACGAACAAACAAACAAAGAAACAATCAACCAAACAAGAACAAAAACGAAAAAAACCCACAACATCAACCCCCCCCCCAACAAAACAAAAACTAAAACAAAACAACCGCCCCTCCAAAAAAATCCAAAACAAAACAACAACCAACAAACCCACAAAAAACTAACAACCCAACCAACTGAACATCAACACAGAAGCCAAAATAACCCTCTTTAACGGATCAACACCTCTGTGAACTTTCCCAGATGTGAGGGTGTGAAAGTCTCACGGAAAGCGATCACATGCAGTTGTTTAGGGCGTATGCTCTAAGGATTCGCTTATCTACAATAACAATATTACTCTTTAAGCCAGATCCAAACGAACGAGTAGATATAATTGGCAAATATATAAGTACCAGATCTTGTTCTATTGTCTGCACATTTATACCGACCTGCTTCAAAGGTACCGACAGAGTCAAGCAGGAAACTTGTTACCAGTAGCTATTCAGAAATAGAAGATCAATAACCGATGGTATATTATTTGGACTCTACAATAATAATATAGATCCAGTGATTATCTCGTGTTTGAGAGATTTGTGCAAGGGGCGACAAGTCAGGAGGTCAGAATGTCTCTTCTCAACGTCTTCTTTTGCTGCGTTATATTCGCCGTTTGCACCTCCCCCGCGGCTTTTGGTGCTGCGAACGATCACGCTGAAGGAGGAAGTAAGTCAAGCTTATATTTTGTGGCTACTGTTTGAGATGATGATGATGATGATGATGATGATGATGATGATGATGATGATGATGATGATTTCATTTATATTGTGAATGTCCTTGAGGAAGTCCGTTGAGGGCGAAACATTGAACTTGTGATAAAATTTTTGGAAATACTACCACGTCTTAACTGTTTTAATATCTGCTTTATACAATGATGATGATGATG